AGGCGTTCTGCCCTTAGGAGCTGCGACTGTTTTGAGCATGCGTTTATGCTCCACTGGAAGTCGGTCAAGTGTCTTCAGATCAAAGAGTCGCAAACAACTGCATTACGTTGAAGCAGCGGGAATTGAACAAGGGGGTGGTTAGCACTGTATGGCAGAAGTAATTGAAGAAGGGAGTGCACATTATTGTTGGGAAAGGGTACAATCACATATACGTCATACAGAATTTCAAAGGAGATGGACATGGAGGATTCCAAAAATTGACCAGCCGAAGATAACACCTGAGGTACGTTTAAGTGCGCGTGAGCATGAACCAAAACATTAGGTCATTAATTTAATTGATTAATTAATTAAATTCAACAAATTGCATGAGTCAGATAACGGGTAGAAGCATACACCAAATTAAATCGCACATGTCAATGTGTTACAGCAAGGGTCGCAATTTAGCGTAACTAATGATCAAATGAAAGAAACGACCTTAAAGAGGCCTATAGGGAGAAAGGGGGCGGAGAGGAAGTTGGCGTAAACCAAGTCCTGATTAAAACTAACTCCCCAATTACCAAGGGACTTGGAAATTTCTGGGAGGTAAACTTAACATCAACCCGTTAGCTGAGCTTAAACCCTCCCTTTGTTGGCGTGCGCTCGAATCCCACTGAAGCAACCTGATTATGCAAAACTGGGTCCAAAACAAAATGAGAAAACCTTGTGAGTGACAGAAAATAATTTGAAAAACGCTAATACATGTTGCCAGTCAATGTCTTACTGTAGAGACTTAAAACTAGGACCAGAGCCATAACCCTCGACACCACCGCGGACTCGAACTGTCTGTTCCTCGGCCAAAGGCCAATGACAAATAAATGCTAACATTAGGCCACTATTTTATGTATGACAGATGGTCTGAGAAGGAAAGTGTTTCATAAAACAAGTTTATCATACGTTTCGATTATAGATTACTCAACAAATTCCTACCGATAAGACGTTTCTACAGACAGATTTATTCGGATGCACGTCTCCTTCGTCAAATTTTCTGAATTGTATCTTGCTTCATTGACAGGCCCCAATGTTCACTCAAACAGTCAGATTCCTAAACATCAGCTCGACTGTTTGCGCGCCAAGTCGGGCAGTCGAGAGGGCCCTAGATGCTGTTGTAATGGTCAAGTCCTCTGTCTACAATTTTGCAGACCGTCAGCTTTTACGGAAGACCTACGCTGAAGAGTCCGCCTTCCGCATGGCCCTTATCTTCTCAGTAGGACTGCCTCGAAGCAGCGGGGGTCGGTTCTTCCATCGCGACGGCTTTAACATCTCCTTGCCGGAGAGAGCGGGCGAGTCCATGGAGAAGATGGAATCTCAGAGGCCGGAGGTTCTCAGAAATTTGACTGGGGAGGTCCAACTCCACGGGGACATTGTGCTGGGGGACTACGAGGACACCTACTACAACCTCAGCCTTAAGCTATTTCACACCTTCCAGTGGGCTGCCGGCTTCTGTCGGGAACACTTTGCACACCAACAGCCCCGACCGCCCGTCTTCATTCTCATGGACGACGACTGTGCCTTCAATGCAAGCCATCTTAAGGCTCAATTGGACGGCCTATCGGATGCAGAGATTCGACGCGTCACTTGGGGCATACCATTTTATGAAGCCAGAGTGATTCGTTCACCTTTCGACAAGAAATATGGCAAGTGGGCGCTCTCAAAGCAGGAAGTGCCCTGGCCGTTCCACGCGCCTTACGCACCCAGCACCTTTCTTGTCTTTGGTGCTGATGTGCTCCAGGAAATCACACTCGCCATGCATTTTACCCGGCAGTTTCCAGTGGACGATGCCTGGCTGGGTTTAATCATGACCAAGTTGGATCTCCACTTTGAACGTCGTGCACACATGTATCAGTTTCCACCAAAACATGTTCCCAAGGAGTTGGTTCTAGCTGCTCCCTACAAATACCTCTTTGGTTCGTAGTAGGTACACAGCTCTTTCGTGAGACTGTTACCTGAATGTGCGAGTATGCGGTAACTGTTAAAACAAAGGCTTTCATTGATGTTGGATCGCTACTTCGAGTCCACTGCATTGATCTACAAGTATCTGCCGAGCGGAATAAAAATATATTGAATGCCACACACGGATAGGCTGGCTGTTTACTAAAAAGTTAGAGTACGATTGTACTTGTAGTCAAATTCATACCATCTTGTGTATATTGAAAGAAATTTCCGTTTATCACATTTTTGTGAGTGCGACGAGCCGCAGATTGTTTTCGAAATTATGCTTAACACTTTACGAATTTTACTGTTTTGCTTTGTTTGTCCATAAATACCGATTTTGTTCAACCTAGTTACCAAAAACTTAGAAATAAGAAATACCCTAACAGGATTTATGGAAATAATGAGTTTTTTAACATTCCTCATTATGCAGCTGCCTCTGTGGGTTATGACCTTAAAAGCAGCGAAATATGTCAACTTATTGGCGAGAAAAATGAATTTCTACAACAAGAGCCGAGAATGAATACGTCAAAGATCAAATAAAAAACTTTCCACAAGAAGATAACTCTTCAAAGAGCACCTTAGTTAGATATTTCGAAGTCGAATATTTGTGTACTGGGATATTTTGACCAGTTTTTTCCTTCCCTAAAAATAGAGATAAATAATCTGCTCAAAATTAAAGAACTTACATTTTTATTTTAACTGGAGCAATTTTCCATATGTTCTTGTACTTCAGAGCACCGTTGTTTGATTTCAAATGCACAACAGAGTGACCGAATA